ATTGATTTTTAATATTCAATGTAATATTTACATTCATATTTAAATCCAATAAATAGTAGATGAAAATAATATATTTTAAATACAAGTCGCGAATATTTATTTCTGATTAATTTGGCCTTTAAAACTAAATTTAGTGACATAGCGTAACATATAACTAATTAGGTCCGTCCCTGGGCTTCGGTTGCAGATACGAGTTTATTTGTTGTGACGAAAGAGAAAGAATATCTTTAGTTCCAACTATACAGGCTTAAAAATTTACAGAAAAACTAACTTTATCTTTTGGGTGAGCCGCCGCGCCGTATGAAATGAATAATTTTGTTTTCTTTAAAAATATAAAATATGATTAAGGGAGAGTGGGGGAATAGTGCGCGTCGGGTAATCGTGCGCAACAAACTATTTCATATTTCGCGGGCTTTAAAGAGCCACAGACTAGTGCTGCGCACTACTGTGCATCACTGACGCCATTACTCACATCAGTTGTTTACGTTTGCAGGGAACGAGCCCTGTTTATTTGAAATCTAGCCAGTTTCTGTAATTTTTTGACATCGGAAAAACAGACGGTGAGTTTCTTAGTCGATAAGATATATTTATTTTATGGAAAAGTATGATCTTTTGCATCTATTGATGCTTGTTTTACATTGTTAGGTTATGTAGTTTGTTAACTGTATTACAGATTGTCATTTAATGTCTAAAGGGGTATCGATGCTCGCTGATGCGCACCATTACCCCACAAGTAATCTAATTTTAAATATATATTTTTTACAGATGCCGAGAAATTATACAAGGAAAACCACAATTCTTTCATGTAAGAAATATTTATAAAACATATTATTTGCGATAAGAAATGATGGCAGAAAAATAAGTGATGCAGAAAGGGTCTTCAATATTCCTAAATCGAAACTGTCAAAATGAGCCGAAGCCTCCTCGTTTGGGTTGCAAGCCTGTGTTTTCAGACGAAATAGAATCTGAGTTAAGAGAGTACGTTTTAACGCTAGCAAAGCTATTTTATAGCCTAACACCCAGGTGTCTCAGGCGACTAGCTTTTAGATATGCTGAGCAACAGAACATTGCTCATAAATTCGACAAGGAAAAGAGATTAGCTGGGAAGGACTGGCTGTATGGATTTTTAAGGATATAGAGCAACGGTAGCCTGAAGGAACTAGTTTGAATAGCATTGCATCTTTTAATAAGGACTCAACCAAATTATTTTTTTCAAACCTTTAAACTATCATGGAAAGGTTTAAGTTTGAACCCAAGGGTGTTTACAACATAGATGAGACAGGCATCACCACGGTGCAGACCAAATGTCCTAAAGTTTATGGTCGTAAGGGATCTAAAAAAGTAGGAGCTGCAATTTCTGGCGAAAGAGGATGAACAAAACCAGCTGTATTTTGTATGAATGTGGCTGGGAACTACATCCCTCCCATGATAATATATCCTAGGAAAAGGATGCCCAAAATTCTCGATAAAAATTAACCAATTGGAGCGTTGTATGAATGTTCTAAGAAAGGTTGGAACAATTCTGGACTATTTCTTCAGTGGCCGAGTCACTTTCAGAGGCATACTATGCCTACTGTTAGTGGTCCTGTCCTTCTGGTACTGGATAACCATTCCAGCCACATTTTAATTGCAGCCTATAATTTCTACAAAGAAAATAACATCCACATGGTCTCGCTTCCTCCACACACATCTGATCACCTTCAGCCTCTGGATCTGACATTTTTTAGCCCTCTGAACAATGTACAATTTGGGGAATATGATCTTTACTTGTCAAGTACCGTTCATCAAAAAATAACTGAATACGACGTAGCCGAATTTTTAAACAACGCCTTCATGAAAGTGGCTACAATGAAAAAAGCAGTTTGAGGGTCTCGGACGTCTGGAATATCTCCATTGGATCCCGACAAATTTACCGATGCTGATTTTGAACCTAGCCACCATGTAGGAAAACTTACAGTAGAAGCAACACCTGAACTTGAACCTTCATCCAGTTAAGATGATGCAGCAACTCTTCCAGATAATCACCCAGATTTACAACATCAGAGAGATCCGAGCCCTCAGCCATCTACGTCTTATGATAATTATTTCTTACCAAAAAAAAACGAAAATCTAGGAACAAACCGAAATCGGAAATTCTTACGAGCACTCTCATCTAAACAAAACTAGAAGAAGCTGAAGAGAAAAAAGACAACGCGAAGAAGCAATAAAAACCAAAGAAAAACTGAAACACAAGAATAGTAAAGGAGTTATCAATTTCGTCGTCTTCAAAGAAATTTAAAAGCAAACAAAAGAGACCGCCAACGCTTGAATCATCTGATTCATCAGAAAATTATATGTCGGATATTTGTGACGACGATGAGCTGGATGATATTGAAGATGATGCTGGGTTGAGCTTCGCACCGCCACCTTTGAATCAGCCAGGAAACTAACCGAAGTTTGTGGTATTTGCGGTGAATTTGACAAACAACGAGAATTATGGTACAGATGTGTCCTTTGCTCAACTTGGAACCATGCCGAATGTACTGGCTCAGATACCTCGAAAAATTATAAATGTGAGCTATGCTCAAATTAGGAGTTAGTATAATGTTTTTTTTATGTTCCACAATTTCAATAAATGTTTTTAAAGTTAGTGTTGGTTTTATCTTATACTTAATACTTTTAATGCGCACGATTACTTGCGCACCATTACCCGCAACGGCGGGTAATGGTGCGCGAGAGCACTTTTGTACTTTCAGCAGTATTGTACTTTAAATATTTTATTTTTTCCTAAAATTGATTTACGTGCTGAGAGTAGACTAAATAGCACCCCCATTACGGTATTTACATTTAAATTATCTACAATGCTATCAGTGCTATAACGATTTTCGCTTGAGTGCGCACAATTCCCCAATCTCCCTTACTTGTGTCATATAAATTTGAAGTTACGGTTTTCTCTTCTGAGCTGTCACTTCAGCAACGCCTAGGTCTATAGGCTTTTTGGGTAAATAATAAAATAAATATACAGAGTATTTAAGAATAATGTACCGCAAACATGAGAGACTTTTAGAACTTAACTAATTATTAAAAAAAGCTAAATATAATTTCCCTGCAAACGTAACTGTTTTCATTTTACAAGGTGAATATCATAAATACATAATTTTCTAAATATCTTTCTTTAAATCAACACATTACCTTAAAATATGTACTTGTTAGTTAATCACTATTATTAGTTAATACATTTTAGTTCGAAAAATTACGATAACCCATTGGCGTAGAATCAAGGGCGAACTAGTTTTTTTTTAAACGATTTTAGACCTTTTGAAACACATTTCAAAATACTTTTTCTGTTCTGCAAACGCTATAAAATATTTTTTCTTACCTTAAAACTATTAAAATGTGCCCTCCAATTTCGATGTTGAAAAAATTTGAACTACAATCATTTTGCTTAATTTCTTGTTATAGAAACTGCTAAATAATAAGACTAGACCATCCATAATGCAATAAACCATCCAAATTTTTTTCGTAAACAGTTTATTTTCTTAATTTAAGCCCATGTTTAGGTTCGTCAGATTTTTTTAATTTTCGTAAACACTATGACAATTGACATTATTTGCAGTGTGACATGTGTCTAAAAGAAATACAATGTTGCCATATCAATTATATATTACATAGCAATGGTAATTTTTACCTATGCCCTTCGTTGTACCAGGCCAACCAATTGACTTCAGTATTAGAAAAATTATATAAAACTAACGATTTAAAAAATACCCATATCAAAATCATCTTCCTTACCCTCATCGGCAGAGTACTCTTCAAAGACCTAACCTAACCTAAACTAACAATATTACAATAAGAAGATGAAGAAACGACTTCGCCGCCACCAGAAAATTTTAACCTATACCTGGCTACGCCGACCTGCATAGACTCCAACGGCCTGGACACAGCTTAAATTGAAAAAAAAAGAAAAGTATTTTTTACAAATATTAGAAAAGTACCGACATGCCGTAATTAACGTACAATCATCATAAAATAAAATAAAAAAACAGTTGTCTGTGATTACTACAAATGTGTTCACTTCGAGATCCAAATTTACCTGCTGGCCAGACACTATGTAATGTTTCAGCCAACTTTCATTAACGGAATTATTTCCTGACTTATGTTTTCTTACTCGATTTGGCAACACCGCATTTATAGAAACTAGACACGTCAATTGTCATTGAAAATAATTTACTGTGTATTTGTTTTTCTAACAAACTAAAAATGAAAAATAAGCAAATTTGATCGTTTATGAAAAAATTTGGTACGGTTTATTGCTCTATGAATAGTCTAATATTGATATTTAGCAGTTTCTACAACAAGAAATCAGTGAAAATGGTTTATTTAACATTTGTTTTATGATGGAGACCCGACAACAAATTTTAAAGATTTTAAGGTAAATTTTTTTTTTTTTAAAGTGTTAGCGGACCCAAAATTGTTATGTATAGTGTGTTTCAAAGTGTTTGGAAACTTTTTATAACATTTCAATAGTTATATCCGCCGTTCGAGTGTCGGCGTATATTAGCTAAAATTATTTTCTTAGCCCTTGATTCCACCCCAATAGGTTATCGTAGTTTATCGAAATAGAGTGTGTTAACTGATAATGGCGATTACTTAACATAAGGTATTTATGAAATTCACTCTATCACCCTGTAGAATGAAAACAGGAAAATTATATTTAGATTTTCTTAATAATTAGTTACCTATGATCTATAAGTTCCTTTATTTATGACACTTTATTCGTTTTTCTCACCTTCTGTGAGAGCTTATTAATAGTTTTTTGTGTTAAAAATTATTTTTAACAATGTAAATAAACCTTTTTGGTATGTATGGAAAAATATCAATAAATAAATAAATAAATTGAGCTAAACCCTTCATGGTATCAAGTATTCAAAATTAGTTGAACCGCTTAACAAGCTTGATTTAAAAAACAAACGAACAGGTAAATAAAAAGATAACGAAAAAACAAAACAAAAGAAACTTACTCGTGTCATTTACAATCTTGGTTTTCTCTTCGAAAGGAACGAAATAACTTCCAGCGGCATCGTCGCTGAATGATATTTGCACCCCGTAAACAAAAGTCACCAGGATCGCGAACGTCACGAGACAACCGGTCATCTTCACGGAATCTCGTTCGTTTCTGGCATGGCAATCTTCGATCGCGTTCGATTCCGTATTGTTTTCGTCGTCATTAAGTAGCATGTATGTGATTTCGTTGTGGACATGGTTCATCGTCGAATGATGAAATGGCGGCCGTTTCGGTGATAAGATAACCAACAATCGGTTTTTACGTTATTAACCAAATGTATCAGGTGTTTTTAAAGGTGTACTGTGTTTATTTTTATAGTCTAGAAGCCAAGCGCGAACATTTTTCTCGTGAAAATTTTGCGGCATGATTTATGAGTGGAATTATCGAAATCTTTTCCTTTTTAATGCAGCCTATAAAATACATTGGATAGGTCAGAAAATGTATAATATTATTGAATTACAGAATAACAACATCGGAACAAAATACAAAATTAAATAAAAAAAAAGAAATACATGGGCGTCGTTATAATGTTTTCCAGGGGGTAGAGACATTTCTGAACCTAATTTTGAAAGCATATGACCCTAGATGTTTTGTTTAGATAAAAAATCCAGAACAAAATTATTGTTTAAACGTATTCTCAATAAAATACTAAATACTTAATATAAATCACAAACAAATATTATTTGACAAGTTTTCTTCTATAATCATGAATAACGGAAATATACCTTAAAGTAGAAAAAATGCCGTATTCCCCAAGATACTCCAATTGTATCGAAAATCTCTTTATTTGTAACCCTACCTTTCTCTTGTTAGTAATTCACTTAGATATTTGAAAATGCATGATAGCACAGTTTTTATGACAAAGGTCTATATACAGGATTGTTCAAAACAGAAAAAAAGTAAATATTGATAACTTCTCAACAGAATTTTCACTAGATTTTAGTATGACCACCCCAAAAAATATCGAATACAATACACCATAAAATGTAAATGAGCAAACCCTAAGGGATTAATCATAATTATAGACCCCAGTGACATGGAACACAAAATTAGTTTAATATAAAGAAGGTAAACTGTCAATATTAAGTATCCACATTTATTTTTATAAAATTAGTATACTAGATATTAAGTTAGGACATTTTCATAAAATGTATTAATAAATATACACACAACTAAATTTATATGATATACTAAAAAACAAAAATTGCCTCTTTTCTCATAAACCCCTCATATTTCGGTTTTAGAAATAAGGGATGATTCCATATAATTTGTTTGTTTGTATTTCGGGAAATAGCGTCATATAAACGTATTATAATTAATATAAATATAGAGTTACATACCTAAATAAATAAGTCGTTTTCTCCCGATAAGGGGTTATCATCACGGCGTTGTACTTTTTTCACTATTGCGTAAAGTGAAAAAAAGGTATTTTAGTGAAAAAAAGTAACTTTTATATTTATAATATTAGTGGATAATGTGTACGGTAGTAAAATAATATTGTATGTAACTCGTGTGTAAAGTCCCTTTTTTGATTTGTGCAAAAAAATATTCACATTCGTCAAAAAAGAGTAACTTTAGGCACTTAAAATTTAAAGGAACGTAATAAACAGTCATATTGCTAAATTACCTTTCCGACGATGTGTCATACTTGGTACTTTCCCTATTTATAAATTGTATTGGTTAGATTGATGTAGGACGTTCTCTTTTTGTATTTGCGTAATTTTTTTTTATTTCTGTAATTCTAATGTACACCGTAAATGCAAAATAAACTATTGTTATTATTATTAAATGACATTTGACAGTTGCGGATATTATAGAAAGGTGTCCCCCTTGAAATAAAACTCGACCTGTTTTTGCGTTTCTTTCAAAAAAATTCTACTTCAAGATATTCTGAGGTACGGCCTGTCGCCACCCTTAATGAATCACCCTGTACAGTACCTGATATTATACAGTATAATACAGTTCCTGATAGACCTAATATCGGAGTATACTGTGCAAGAAGTGTTTTAACTATTCCAGACAAGACAATGAGATACTCCAAAGTTGGGAAATTGTTATTGAAAAAGCTAGATAAACATGATTAACATTTTATAATTTGGTGGACTATGTATATGTGCATAATTTGCAAAGTAAGTACTTTAATTTTTAAAGATAAATACCTATTTATATTTATTAATATATTTTTTCTATTATTATCTGGGTTAGGCTGAATTTTGGCTCGTTTTGGTCTTTTTATAAAACTCCCCTTATTTTATGTCTTAATACTGTTAAAATAAACACACACAACGATGACACTTAAAGGGTCGAGAGGGAGATATCGCTCTGGGTCTGCGATATTTTAACATAAGGTCTGTGAAGTTGCCCCCAATGATATTTAAAAAAAAAAACGATTGCACTAGAATGCACTAGTGATGCACCAATACATACTACTAATTTTTTTGTTTGCACCACCTTCCTTGAGAAACTACAGCTATCTCTTTGTGGGGGGGGGCTAAATGAACGCTGCCCTTCTCCCAGTCAAAATTTCAAGATTTACTGTAATGCACCAGTTAGCCCTTGTAATGCACTCATACGCACCAATAATAAAACTATTTGCATCCCCTCCCTTTAGTAGTTATAGCTGTTTCTTTACTGTGATGTTAGCCCAACTAATTATATTTGAGCAAAAACAATATTGCACCGATATGTATGCATCATTTACTCATTTTTAGCCCTAAATAAATTTTGGCCAATTCGCACGAAGATGCACATTTTAATAGTCATAATATTTCATAGTACATCTCTGAATTTCAAACAAAATAGAAAGGAATTAGATAATAAGCTTACTACAACATTCTTGATAACAGTATTGTGCTTACTTTGACGTCACACATACTGTGGTAACGTTAAATGTGTAACGTCATATATATGTCAAATTTAATTTAATTTGGGATTTCTAAACCATATTAGAATTCTAAGAAATTTTAGGATCTTTTGAGTTTGTTATTTATTTAAAATGATGTCTCCTCCAAAAAAAGAAGAAATGTTTTATTTTGTGTTATATTTGTGTTGAAATATATTTCCTTCTTTATGTTTCAGTAGGTATCTCTAGTTATTTCCTGTATTTAAAATTTCATTTCTTTCGTAGTAAATATAAAAATGTTCAAACAACTAATCACAGAAAATCGTACGCACACCGGTGCAATATTTTTTTGGGAAAATATTGCATAGGGCTAACTTCACGGTAAATAAATTGCTTCAACTACCGAAGGGAGGGGGTGCAAAAAGTTTTGTTGGTGGTGCATATGCGTGCATCAGGAGTGCATACCGGTGAAATAGTTTTTTTGCTAAAACTTTATTGGGGGGGGGGGCTAAATTCACGACAAAGAAATCGTTGTAACTACTAAAGGGAGGTGGTGCAAATTGTTTAATTGGTAGTGCATATGAGTGCATCAGGAGTGCATATCAGTGCAATATTTATTTTGTGAGGAAATCATTGGGGGCCAACTTCGCGATAAAGAAACAGCTATAACTACTAAAGGGAGGGAGTGCAAAAAGTTTAATTGGTGGCTTATGACAAGGGCTAACTGCCCAGGTAGCACAAAAATATCCCATCTACGTTAATAAGCTGCAATTTTAGGCTCTTTAAGCTAGCATGCAATGTACTGTAAATGTAGGTAACCCTATTATCCCTGCAACTACCGAATGTCCGCAACGGCAAGACTTTTATAGCACATCTCGTAGAAGTTATAAAGTGAAGTTCGGAAAACAACACACTAGCACTTTTACGGTATACTTACCCCGAAAGTTGCTCTGAAACTTTCTATAGATGTTATAATGTGAATTCCTTCTACAGCATTATACATTATACAGTGTGTCCACGAAAATATTTATTTTAAATTTTAAAGTATTTCTTCATAATTTCTTTTGCTTGTTAAATAAATACGATTAACGTTGAGAAATTATGAAAAATACCTATTTTAAAAAATTTTAAATAAATATCTTTACAAGTATAGTTATGTCCATCCTTGGATACACTATATTCAAAATAGTATATTAAGGATATAGTAAAATCTGAAGAAAACAAAATAAAAAAATTGTATAAATTTATTATTAAAAAGCTATTGAAATCAAATACCAATATCATACAAGTAGAGGTAGGTAATAATACAGGTAATGCAATTACACATGTGTGATACCATAAGGTAGCTATAAAACACTGACAAATTGGACAAAAGTAGGTATAGAGGGTATATAAGGAATATCTCAAAAGTTCACTAGAATCAAAAACATTGAACGCTTGCACGAAAGAGTATAATAAGGTACCTATATTGCAAAGGTTCACTAGTAGCTAAAATGGTGAACGATTGTACAAAAGTAATAAAAAAAAGTGTATTTATATAAGGTATATTTCAAAGGTCACTAGATTTTTATTAAGATGGCAGTTGTACGATGCTAAAAAAATATATTTGCCTACAACTGGTACTAATCATAGTTTTAATACGATATAACTTGATTAAACTGAATATTGATAAATGTAAAGTTATAAGGTTTAATAAAACAGCTAATATCATTATGCATGATTATGTCACTGCAGGTTCTGAACTATAAATGATCTTGGTGATATTTTTGACAGGCGCCTATCGTTTATTCCTCATTTTATTAGATTCCTTGTTCCTGCCAGACTTACTAGGCAGATTAAACTATTTTATGTAAATACTCATAGAACTAACTGTGGACAGAATTTATTTGTAGACCGACTGATGTCCAATTACAATAAGTATTTTTCAAATTATGACATTTCTGTAGGTTTTTTTTAAGCGTCGACTTCCATTATACTATATTGACTTCAATTTTATACTATGACAATTTTATTAATTTCTTTTTTATTTTAATTGATATTTTAAATGTACCATTTAGAACTTTATGTATCTGTAGCGTACTGTAAACAAATAGATAGATAGATAAATAAATAATGTGAACCTAATTATATAGTTTCTTCCTAAAAATAACCTTGTAGATAATAAATTTACTTGTTTATTATTAAAGAAAATAATATGTATAAAGAAAATGAAAAATATGCTCGTTTAAATCGTTGCACCTATTTTTAGTTGATTTTTACTTACTTTGTTTTCCTAAATAAATAATAACCTTTATTTTGATTTTTACAAATTTGATACTTAATAATAGATGTTCAACTTATACAGAACAATGTTTTTAGCATGATATTCTGCTATGAAAGAAAAAGAAATAATTTCAGATGTTATATATTCTTCTTCAACCAATTCTGTATTATTAACTTTAGCTTCTAAAATTTCTGACATTTTTACTAGAATTATAATCCACCACAAAGAAAACCTACAACACAATATTTTTAAAATTTATTTTAGTGATTAAAATATTATTACACTAGGGCGACCATACTTACAGCAATTTTGCTGTATTTTAAAGCATTTTTAAAGTTTGTCCAGCAATTGGTATTGTACAGCAAACGTA